CAGAAAGGAACACTTTTTTTTTAAAAATCATTGAAAAAGAACTGCCATTTTTAGCCCCTCTTTTATAAATTTATAATTTTAACCTTCTGAGGTTCAAGCAAAATCTAGTTAAGATCCATGTTAGATTTCTTCACAATTAACTGTCGAAAGATTCATGATTATTTACAGAGCTTGCTGTCCATTTTGGAGAGTGTATAATAATGACCTTGATATCAATTTTTTTGAACTTTTGCCTTTGAATTATATTCTAACAGTTTCCCAGCATGTCAGTTTATTCATGAAGAAATTTTACGTACGTAATATGCCGGAAGATGAACCACAAAAAGTCAGAAGAAGACAAAATACGAATGATGTTTAGTTGACATTAATAAGAAAATAGCAAAAGGCTAAGAAAACATCCCCTGTCACATGACCTTTAAGATTTGACCTTAGCCTTAAAGGCCATAATGTTTTCATTTGAAGATATTCATGTATGATGCTGGGCCTGGCATTATACCTTTATTATTTTGTCATTTTCTTTAATGGTTTCACTCTTACATTCCAAAACAATGGCCTTTTATGATTATTTAGTCCTTGAATATTGTTGACTGTCTTTTCACTTTATAACTGCATAGTCAGCAAGGTTAAGGACCATTAGGCATGTTGTATACAGTCTTATTTGAAAGGCAAATAGGATGAATTAATCATACCATTATTAATTAAACCCTTTTGACCCAATGTTTGTTATTGTAGCTGTTATAACAATATGCCTTAGACACTACTACAACTAGAGGATATATATAGATATAACAAGGAGATGTGGTATGATTGCTAATGAGACAACTATATTTCCACCAAAGTTCAAATGAAGTGGATGTAAGCAATTATATGCAACTGTACGGCCTTCAACAATGAGAAAAACCCATACTGTATAGTAATTTTAGCTATATAAGGACCTGAAATGAAAAACATGAAACAATTCAATTTAGAAAGAAAACTAACGACGTTAGTTTATAACAACACAATTTACGAAAAAACAAATATGACAGACATGAACCAATGCCAACTATTGAACTACAGTCTCCTGACTTGGGACAAGCACTTAAGGAATGTGGAAAGATATAGATATAAATATAGTTCAGGGAATTTTAGGTAAAGAGTCTTTTTTTATTACCTACATACATTTGAATTTGGTAGATATAGATAATTTTTCTTTTAAATTAAATTCATCAATAGGGCTCTTTGATGTTTAAAATTATTGAAAAATTTTGATCATTTCAATAAGACTGGCATTTCAATTAAGTTTTGTGAACTTTCAGAATTTGACCCTCCGACTAAAACAAATACAAAGGGAAAATTGGTAAAATTATCTTTCTGAATTTGCAGCCATAATCTTAAAATTTACCATCAAATGAATCTGCCTCTATGATTATCATACAATGATTAAATGATAATCTTTGTTATCATATAATTAAATTAAACTGTTTGCCACAAAAACATGTATATATATATATATATATATGTCAATGCAATATAGATTAAACATGAATCATGTTAATGTAATCAAAAAATATATATTTATAAAAACATTAAAAATTACTAAGCTGCTTCTTTCCTCAGGTCTCAATGTCACTGTTTAAAAAAAAATAGCAGATTTATGAGTTTCACATGTTGATGAAGGGTTTAATAATTTAATCACTTTTAGGTCTTTTGAAATGACATAAGTTCATCTTCTAATTCTAACTTTTTAAATTTTAGATAGATCTAAGGCCACTCTTAACAAATTCTTTGTTTGATGGTTCGGTAGGTAGGAAGGTAGGGATTTTATTATTTTTTTTGCCAACAACATTAGCTCATTATTTTTTAGACAAAAAACCAAGTAAAGGCATAAAAAAAAAAACTAAAAATATTTTTTTCGGGTAAACTGCTTTTGAGGTGGATAGGTAGGCTACATAAAACAATTTTATTTTTATTTTTGGCCTACTCTTAAGTGTTAGTTCACATTGTACAATGCTGTTTAGTAACATTCTTACAAGGCAAATGATTAGTACAACTTTATTAATTGTACAACATTATATTTCATGTTGACACATTGTTTTTTGTCAGTATTACAATGATAGATGACAGGTTATTTTTATACCTATCGTAAAGACACTTGACAAGGCGTAAAAAAAAAAAACGACAGTGACTGTATGTGTAAAGTACGACCAGTCTCGTTAAATTGACAATATGGCGTTCTAGTATCATGGTGTTTTGTTTTACATAGTTTAATTTTGGCTGGATTATTTTCTTGGAAAAAGTCTGGAATAATTTTTTCTTGGTAATCATGATTGATGCGTCAAATGGTAAATTAATTTTTTTCTTTTGAATTTTAATCATTTTCTTTAAAAGAAGCATATTAGCAACTATAGATATATGTTGTAATAGCTATTATTTAGGTAAGAAATTAATCTTTGAATTGCTTTATGATTTTTTGGGAAAAAAATAGATGCATAAATTAAACTCATTTTTGTATTCAGCATTTTAGTTATAAAAGTATTGTATTTGAAATTTTTTTTGTAAGCAGCTATTTCTTAAAAGGATCAAGCAAAAATGTAGCGGTATTGCTGAGTTTACTATTTCCAAAGTGAATGAAAGATCTTTAAACTTTGAAAATGAATTAAAACCAAAGACAATTTGTAAAGCATTGGTCCTATTTTGGATTATTTCCCTTTGCTGCTTATGTAAAGAGTTGTCTTTCTTTGTGATCTTGGGATGAATCATCAAAAAAAATAATGAAGAGTTGTTTATTTTATGAAACAAAACTTTTCACATGGAAACAAAAAAGGAGCTCTGAAAATTTATTATACCATTTATACTTGATTGAAATTATATTTAACTACATAAGAGAAAAATAACTATAATTTCTTTAATTAAAAAGGGGGACTTGAAGTGCTTAGGGAGCTACCATTTGATTTTTATGGGGGGGGGGGGGGGGGGGCTAGGATGAAAAATTGTGTCTTTCATTTTTTTTTAGTTGTAATCTCGGTCCTGTCTTTTTATTTTTCACTTTATTCGGTCCTGCCTTTTTTTTTATTAGTTTATCCTGACTTTTTATACATAATTTGTCATCCTGCCTTTTTTTTTTTGCCTAGTTGCTCATCCTGCCTTTTTTTTACTCAAAACTTCTGTCCTGCCTTTTTTTTTTCAAATTTCATCCTAGCCCCCATAAAAATCAAATTGTAGCTCCCTTAGTAACAAAACATAATGTCATTATTAAGTTTTCTTGTTTAAGGCTCTCAATTTTAGGAGCAAATTGGATTCATTTATAATTTATTACTGATGCAACAATTTAGTATCATTTTGATTATTTTTAGAGGAACTTCCATCATGCAAAAAAAAATTGGAAGTGATTTCTTTGTAATATAGAGCTGAATAATTGAAAAAAAACCTGAATTTATGAAATACATTATTAATGAAAATTGCTATAATTAGATAAGTTCATGAATATATCTTTTTTTAATATATGACCTCAAGGCAATTGTGTTGTATCTATAATTTTTATATTGTATTAAATTTTACTTCACTAGACATTGGTAGCATATTTCTTTATCATTAATATCTATTGTACACCAAAAACATGTTTATTAGGTATTTTTAATCGTTTAAATTAACAACAGTACTTAAAACATATATATTCTTGTTGAAGCCATTTTCATAATGTAAAAGAGAGGTGAAGGAAAATGAAGGGACATTGAAACTCATTGGTAAAAAAAAACTGACAATGCGATGGCAAAAATCGAAAAAGATCAAGAGATAAAGAACGGTTTACACAACACAACATAGAAAACCAAAGACTGAGCAACACCCACCCCATCATAAAAACCAGGTGATATCAGGTGCTCTGGAAGGGTAAATAGATCCTGCTTCACAAGTGGTCATTTCTATATTATATTGATTGTTATGGTAACTTTTGAAAAAAAATGATCCCAGACTTTTTTCTTGAAATTTTTGGAGATCAATTGTTCAACTAAGGCAGTTTGGATTTCAATGTATATAGCTAATCATTGTTTTAATAAAAAAAAATGGCTCTTCTAATAACCTGTAGAATTTCTCAACTTGTTAGAGCATTGTTTTACAGATGAATGGTTATATGGTATGATAATATAATGCATTAATGACAGTAGCTAGCTATCAGTGATGTGTACTATTATAGTGCTCTGAAAGTCATTTTCCACATTTTCCCCAAGGTCAATGTTTCTCTTAATCATCTTGCTTTGGTAGTAAACACATAGTTCAAAAATACTGTTAATTCCCCTGTTTGACTTCAATCTTGTTTGTTTGAAAATTTTATAGTAAGATTTTCCAAGTAATTTATCATGGTACTTGACTTTTATGGACACCCAGTTAAGCCTCTGAAAGTTATTTCATAAGAAATTTGAATCTGATTTATTTCAAATGTATTATAATTTTTAGCAACTTACATGTTAAAAGGGGGAGGGTTGGATACCAATCAGACCATAATTCATGTAATTCAAAGTATGGAAAGACAAATAGGGATGATGCTATTAAACACAATATCGTCTTGAATTTGCATGAAATATTTGCCACTGGAGTGACTGGACGTTAAGCAACCAACAATCAAACAATCAATTAAACACAATACAGAAAACTAAAGCTTACTTTCCTAATCTACTTGGGTTTCTGAGACGTGAACTCCTCGAAAAATCAGGATGAAGTCATGTGCTCCGGAAGGATCAGCAGTTTCTGACTGATGACAAAGGTAACAGGTGTAAAAGGCTCTGCACGCTTCAGGCCAATGGTCTGATCTCAATTTCAAACACTGTTCTTCTGAAGGAACACTCATCTATCAAGTACATTACCACACTCCCCTTTACATATTATATATCCTTGCCAGAAGTTATCTATCAAGTACATTACCCCACTCTTACTTATATAGTATATTATCATTGCCAGAAGTTAAGCATGTTCAGTTCATACTGAAAATGTCACTAATTGTTTTTTTGTACTTTTTTTTGTAGAAAATGCATTGTGCCAAAGTTAACTGTAATATGAAGATGTATTTTATGGTAGTTTTGGATAGGATATAAATCTGGATCAATAAAATTATATGGTGAGTTGTTGATTACTAATTTGTATATATATATGCCCCCCCACCCCCCCTTGCAAACTTGTTTAGGGGGGATGGGGGTGATGGTGGAAGGAAGGAGAAAACCATCTGTTTGTCTGTCCATGTGTCTAGTAAGTACAACTTCACCTTAACTGCTAGAAAAAATATAGGTGAAACTTTATGCAGTCGCAATTCTGTATAAACTGACAAATTAAAAATTTTGGCGTTACCAACAATGTACTTTTAAAAAAGATTGTCCTTCTCAATTAACAGCTTATTTTCATCAAGATGACACAAGTGTATCTGTCACATGTAAAATAAAGATTGTTTACAACACTCATTCCTGATGGAAATTAAGTAAAGCTTACCTTCCTAATCTACTTGGGTTTCTGACCATAAAAAACAGTTGTAATTTATTACCTTGTAAAAAAATGGTATAAATGAAATATACAAGATATGGAGGTGGCAATCAAAAACAATTAGTCAAAGAAGAGGGGAGCGACACTGAGGTGTTTATTTCCCAAATCCCGCTTTTTTTGTCATTTTTTTCCAGGTTCCACTGTTTTTTTTTTTCCCCTATATCCCACATCCCATAAGCATGTCACCCCCCTCAGGGAACATCAGACGACACTATGGCCCAAATGAAAAAAGACAAAAATAATCACAACTGAGTCCACAAAATAGTCCACAGAGAAAAACAAAAGATTGAGCAACAAAAACCTTACCATAAAACACTGGCAGCCCTTTTGAATTAAGTTGAATTTTCAGTCCAATTGTAGAATCCAAGACACAGAAGGATTACTATCGCAAAAGAATTTTGGTCCAATTTCCTTAAAAAGGTCAGACACAGGAATTTATAATAGATTATTAATGACATCAAAACCTATTACATGGAATCCATAAAGAATGAATATGCCATGTGGAAAGTGCATGAGAACCCAATTATTCAAAGAACATGAACAAAACAAATTTTACAAGTACATAAGTCTCATATTTTATCAAGCTCTATAAACCATTAAAAATCTCCCTGCTCGAATAAGCTGTCGTGAATTTACATACGGACTGCCTTGTCTAACTATTCATCCGAAAAAATAGAATTAATTAATCAAGACATAACCATTAATTGATAATAGAGATCAAAGCTGGTAAAGAGTTGATTTCCTCTGCTGTGAAATAGATTCTGTTAATTGGTGGCAAAATGGAAAATCATGGCAATAATCATTTCTAAGATAGGAAATATATTAAACTTTATGTATCTGACTATTTGTTTATTAATTTTTCATCATGATGGTATTGAATGTGATTGGATATTATGTTGCATATTTTGTATCATATTTTGCCATGAAATAAGGTTAAATTGCTGAAAGACCTCCCTCATTAATTAATGAAAGCTCGCTAATATCAGTGTGTAAATCAGAAATTATATGCCCCTATTGGTGTATTAAATACATTGTTATGGACTGGCTTTTGTTTAAAGTGGATCTCATTATTATGCCCCCGCCATCAGCGGAGGGGACATTGAATGTTAGTTACCCATGTACGTCTGTCCGTCCATTCATCCGTCTATCTGTATGTACGTCCCAAAATTGGTTTCTGTTCTCTAACTTTAGTTTGTCTCAACCTAATGTTATGAAACTTGCACAATGCTTATTACCACAAAATACAGATCGAATTCGAATTTGGGTGGCGTCACTTTTACCGTTCTCTAGTTATGCCCCTTTATAACATTATATGCAAGCGTGGGCATCATCTGTGTCCCATGGACACATTCTCCATTTATTGTAGATTTCATTGGTATTGATAGATTTACAAATTTAGATACTTTTAATTTTTAAGAAAATGTAAATCTCTGTCAAAACATCAACAAAAAGACAACATTTCCTCAATCCTCTAAAATTCTCTAGTTATGCCCCTTTATAACACTATATGCAAGCGGGGGCATCATTAAATTATTTATTGGTACATAACGTTAGACTCCACCTAATCGGATATCGGCTAAATGAATATAATATAGCTATATTATATAGCTATTGTAATATTATTTCAAAACGCCAAACCCTTTCCTATATAATGTTACATTTTATTGTGTATACAAAATCGGATATAAGAATATATCTGCAAATCAGATAGGAATATTTCTTGTAAATTCTGTCAAAACCATGCACAATCGGTTATTTACAATGTTTTTCTGACAGGAAATGTGCCTGGAAGTTACACAATTACAACCTCTAAATAAATAATTCAATAGTACAGGAACAATATGGTGTGGACATTATTCTCTTGGGCTATTATCATGATTCAAGAAGGGTCATGAGGAATATAGATCCAAAATGAAATTCGAGAAGGGTCAAGAGAAACATAGATCCAAAATGAGGGGAAGGGTTATGCCTGGAATACTGCTAGAAGTGATAAGCATACTGTGACCATATAAGGCCTCAATTTATAAATACCTCACTCGAGGATTATTCTAAATAAGTCTTTCATTCTTTACTAAAGTTTACAGGTATAAGAGACTCAAGTAATTATTATTGGACCTTGAGGTAAAAATCTGATGATATTTTGCTTAATTCTTAACATTTGACCAAACTTAACACCTTTAATAAATTTTGACATATTTTTAGTTTTAGCTAATATTTATATATTAGATTCATTTAGAAATACTTACATTTATTGTGTTTAATATACAAATTTATTTGTTTTGGATATATTGTAGATTACCTTTGATGATGATTTTTTCAAAACATGTAAAATTTGCAATTTTTCATTGATTTCTAGGAAATATGTAATAAAACTGACTGAAAAAGTGAAAGACTTTAAAAATAATTGTGGTGTGAAATATATCCGGGAACTTAAGTTCTTCCTCTTATTTTTGTATGTTTAACAATTTGAATAACGATCTTGACAGTTCTTTTATCTTAATATAAAAATAATTTGGTAAACTTTATTTGTTGTTTTTTTTTTTTATTTGTTCCTTTAAAGTACAAATGTTTGTGTGGTTTATGAATTTATTAATGTCTATACATTACATTTTGATTAATATCTTTCATAGAATTAAAATAAAACATGAAAAAAGAGAATGTATTTCAAGTAACAAATAACATGTATGAATGAGTCAAATTATATGTAGGCTATTTATTATTCGTCACATTTGCATGAGTATGCAAATTTTGACTAAGGGGTCTAAGATGACAAAAGATCTACAAGAAATTTTTGTGTATTAAAAATATGCAGTGCATGCCCCCTGGGGGTAGACATTACAAAATTAAGGTAGGAGAACTTGTCATTTTTTTTAGGCCGCGTAGGTGTTTTTTCATTATATTCATGTCATCTTGTACGTATGTGGTTTATGACTTGTCCAAAAATGATATATTTCCGAAATACATAAATTGACGATTATTTCAGGACAATAAACTGAGAGGAAATTATAGCAATCACCTGCGATTCTACTCTATATGTTTGTAAGGACATTAACTAACTGTAAAACTTTATTGTTAAATGTTTGGCAAACATTCTGATCAGGTGTATGATCTAATTATTACCTACAATATATATAGTTATACACCCACATTCTGAACTTCCAGTTTTTACTTTTATGTCAAGGGTAAATTAGGCCACCCTTCAAAAATTCTTTGTTTGATGTTACCTACCCATGCATTGTAGTGTTGGATAGGTAGATAGGGATTTTTAAAAAAAAATAGGGGGGGGCCAACAACATAAATTATATGTTTTAGACAAGAAAATGACATTAGAGCAGGAAAAAAATCTTTAAAAAAAAAAAATGGAAACGATTTGTATCATAAAATTTTTGGGGTAGGCTGCTTTTTAGGTGGGTAGGTCACAGGCAACATTAAACAATTTAAATTTTATTTTTGGCCTTAGGTATTATAAGTATAATACACTGATTGCAAAATTTTCTGTCTTTTTTAAAGTATTTAAAAAAAAAAAACCAACACATTGAAATTGTACAAATTTTTTTAATATTATAATACATTCAATTTACCTGCATTTAAAAAGTTCTAAAAAACATAGTCCTACTTTTTTATAGTTTTTTATTAAAGTTAATGAGTTCAGAAAAATATTGAAATGTTTTTGAAGTTTGTTAAGTACGTGTAAGATTTAAATATCAAAACTTTCTTTAGTCTATATTTTCCTTTTAAACCACCCACTTAATATCAACTATTACTAGAAATTACAAATTTTGTGAAAATTGATATTATTTTTGAAAACAAAAACTGAAATTTGTTAAATGTTTTGCATGAAAAAATGCAAGCTTCAGTGTGTACAGATGTTTACTTCAGTGCATGAAGGGCACATTATGGATTTGAAATATTATGTTAAACCTCACAAATCTATAAACATTATGTATATTACATTTATGCAAAATTGCAATATATATTAGTTCTGAGATTAATACCTCCCGTAACCAATAGTTCATCATATTTGACACCCAAAACTGTCAGTTTTTGTAGATAGATATTACAACAAAGGGGACAAAGTACTTTTTAGTGGGGGAAGAATGTAATAGTAGTGGGTGCATGTCTATTTTAGTAGGGAATCTTGGCAGACAGTCACTGGCACTCATAATGTATCTGTGGGTGTTTAATTAGTGGGGTAAATATAGGATATAGGTTGATTGAATTGTGAGGTTCAATTGGGTTGTTTATGTTTTAAAAAGTATGCATTTTCAGTATATGATTCCTCATCATTGTGAATGAATTATGGGACATTATTTATACCTGTTGTTGTATCAGTTTGGATAAGTGGTTTTGCTTGTAGGGGGTGTGTATTCAGGTAACAACTGTATATATATATTATGAAGAGTTGGTGGGATTAACTAAGGCAAACTGCAGGGGTTGAAAATAAAGTTGTTCTATGTTGAATATAAAATATATTAAAACAAACTCACCTCACCACCATTTCAGGTTTTGCCCTAAAGATCCTGACCTTTTTTCTCAGATATCAAATGAAAATTCAAAATATGTAACCGCATGTATTGTTTTGTA